TGACTGTTGAGTAAAAGAAATTAATCAGATGTTTAGTTTGACTGTTGAGTAAAAATATTTAATCAGATGTTTAGTTTGACTGTTGAGTAAAAATATTTCATCAGATGGTTAGTTTGACTGTTGAGTAAAAGAAATTAATCAGATGTTTAGTTTTGACGGTTGTGAAAAAAAATAATCAGATATTTAGTTTGACTGTTGAGTAAAAATATTTAATCAGATGTTTAGTTTGACTGTTGAGCAAAAGAAATTATTTAACATAAACATTTAATCAGATATTATAGTTTTGTCTGTAGAGTGTTTTATTTCAGTGAAGATTGATTGAACCATACATTATATTAACACACCTGGTAAACTATCAAATTCTCCACCAAATTAAGCGATAAAAAAAACTTTATTGGGACTTCTTGCTGAGCTTTTCTGGTATAAAATATCATAAATATAGCTGGGTTGGTAGACTATTCATCAATTTATTGTCAATACCTGAATGTTTTATAGAATGTTATATTTAAAGATGGCAATAAGATACTGAACATTAATCAATGGATACTTATTTATTCCATACCCTAAATCTAATATTTCGTGGACTGTATAAGATTCTATTCAATACTATTTTATAGCTGTATTTAATCCTTATATGTGGATACATGTATTGTCGATGTACAAGGTTTTTTTTAAAGAATATTAATGTGTCAGATAATCAGTTATCTAACTGAATTAATCTTTTTAAATCACCTAAATTGTACCGTAGACTATTTGTTATATCATTTTAAAATTTTGTTTCAGTTGAATTTCTTTGTGATAAACTTTTTTTTTGCATCTGCTATAAGCTGTAAAATTCAACATTTTTTCATCAAAAAAAAAGAAGGGAAAATTCAAACCTGACCGACAGTAAATGTTTGTTTCCTCATTTTATTTTGTGATCTGTCTACACAAATGGTTTAATGTTAGTGGATATGTAGAAAAACTGGAAAATCAAATGTCACATGATTACAATTTGTATAAAAGGAGATATGGGGTTTACACTATTGACACAGCCACACAATGACAAAATAGTCAAAAGGGCAACACAGTTTCAGAATACTACCTTGGGATTGCTTTATGGAATATAATCCTACAATTGCATGATAGAGGGGAAATAATCCAACTTACTTCTTTTTCCATTTTTTGGAAAATGACGCTATCAGCGGCATGTTTCCGATACCATTGACCAGAACTTACGGAAGTGGATTATTGCCTCCGCCTACCGCACTCGGTTTCATATTTACTATTTTACATACTAACTGGAATCTGCTTGTATTACGCTACACTCGAACAAAGTGTTGTAGTCGGACGGGAACCAGTTTACATACTTTATTTTATTTACCAAAAAGATATCTTGACCTGTCCATATGTTTTTTGTTATTAAATGGTATTTGGAGCTATCCCTTTGTTATATTTTTCATATTTATTCGCGCTTTCACTTTTATGCACATGTCTTACAATCGTAAACAATCGGTATGTATACATGATAAATAGATCCGTTTTGTTATGGTGTTGGACTTTTTACCCTCCAATGATCAGCAATCGCTAGACAAAATAGTTATCCTAAATAATGTCAGCCTTTCATGCCATTTCAACTTTACAATCATTAAAAAAAAGTGAAAATCGGAATCATTTTGATATCCATTGGATAGAAACTGGTCTTTATCCAGATTTACGAAGATTTTAAAAATCGGAAATTAGTAATACGGTTATACCCACGCGATGCGTATGAATCTTTGTTTACAAAACAGGATTTCGGAGTGTCTCTAGTTTTTAGATCGTAAGTCACGATAAACTCAAACTGAAAGTAAACAGTTGTTTGTAAGACGCAGGTTTACTCACCATAAACAAGCTGAAACGTTCAGTGTGGCTTATATTTTAGGTTAAAGACGGTCCCATTCATTTAAAAAGCATTTTGAAAGTAGACGGTGGGATTATTTCAGGTTTTGGGAACGAGTAAATTATCACAAAGTTCATTTCTTGACGACCTCATAAATTTCATCATGTCGATGGTACAAATCGATTTTTACTGTTTACTGTCGCTTCTCATGTTTTGTATTTAAACGGTCGTTTATTTTTAAACCCGAACCAGGCATATGCGTTCTGTAATTGTGCAAATCTTCGTTCTTTGGTCAATTGGCTTATGGATAGTTGTATCAATTTCAACTCTTACATTATTTTTTTAAAAAACATATTTGCATTACACATGCAATGGCAGTACCTTTCCAATTACTATTTATGTGTCTAAATTAAAGTTGTAACACTTTATAGTGACTGGAAAGGGTAGAAAAATTCATCAGATGAGAAAAGGCTGAATATACTTCAACCGGCACCGAATCATTATATATTGCATCTTATAAAAAGAAACTGAGATTTGGATAGTTCCACTTCAAGGTAAAAATGTTTATCTCTTGTGAAATGAAATAAAAAAAATATTGTAACACTGTAGTTAATTAATAAAGATACTATTACGCGTATTTCTGTATTGGCCTTATTATTGGTTCTCGGCCAGCAGTCAAACGGCACTGAATCATTAGATATTGCATCTTATAAAAGGAAACTGAGATTTGGATAGTTCCACTTCAAGGTAAAAATGTTTATCTCTTGTGAAATGAAAGAAAAAAAAAAATATTGTAACACTGTAGTTAATTAATAAAGATACTACATTTTGTATTACGTGTATTTCTGTATTGGCCTTATTATTGGTCCTCGGCCAGCAGTATTGGCCTTCCGCTTCGCCTCGGACCAATACACCCAAGACATGGACCAATAACAAGGCCAATACAGAAATACTTACGCAATGATATTATAGAATGACAGTATGGTTCAATAGCGGGAATCAGCCCCTCAACTACTTTTTACATAAATATTAACTTCTGGCTTCAACGCTTTTTTCGTCTTGTCTAGAGATCTTGCTGAAGTTCCAGTTCAGCAAGCATTTTAGAGACTATCCCGTCCATCCTCTTTTGACTTGTAATCTCTGGTGATAGATTTTGCCGCTTGACATTGTATCCTTTTAAGCTTGTTTTTTTTTCTTACCGTGTAGGGGTCCCATACTATGGCTCCATATTAAATTATAAGATCCATTCCTAAAGATCCAGATCATTGTTCTAATCTGACGCAAGTTTCAATAACTGGAATGCTACCCAAGATGAATATATGGTGACCCACGAGAACAGCATTTTCACTATTGAAATTGTGTTTAATACCATGATTGTTCAATGTCATTAACTTAAATGGAGACAGACATTTGACCTGAAAGACATGAAAGGTGGTGTGGGAGTGCAAAATCAAAAACTAACTGACTATGATATATGGTTAAAGAATGAATATCAATTACATGGGTCAACATGGTCAAGGGCAGAGTTGTTATAAAATAACAATATGGCAGAGAAGTGGTTTGAAGTTTCATATAAAGCGACCTGACTGACATGAAATAAAAAATCGAAGGAGTATCCCTATTTGTCTAATCTTCAAGGTGAAATAAAACTAGTAAAACAATATTATACTATTGTCTAAATATACAGAAATATAATTTGCTTCAAGTAACAGAAATAACTAGGTCACTAGTAACTTATTTAATGAGTATGTGGGGTATAAGAGCTTGCTAACAACAGGCTCTTCATAATCATTTGGTTTGAAAAGGATACTAGTAGTCTATATTCTTGATTTAGAAAAATGTAATTGCAAGAAAAAAATCACATTACTTAGAATACTTTAGATCATTCAGGTAGTCTTTATTTATATGTACAAAAGAACAGCCAGTAGTCATTGGATATTGTAGATCATTCCGGTAGTCTTGACCTATTTATTTATACAAAAAAACAGCCAGTAGTAATTGGATACTGTAGATCATTCAGGTAGTCTTGACTTATTCATTTGTACTGAAAAAACAGACACACATATACGAATATCAATTATATGCTTACGAGACATGTTGCAATGTTAAACTTATTACGGTATGTGAAAATTAAGACTTGCATAAAAAATATCACAATATTAGAGACAGTGGCGTCATTTTTCCTCAGAGCTTTCAGCTCTTTGATTTTACACATCCTCCTACACAGAATCATTTAGGTACGGTTGTAAAATTGGGAAAATATTATGTGGTGATAGTCTCTCGATCATAAACACAACTCCTTCTAAATGTCTGGACTGATATTGATGAAACTTAACACAGTTGTAGAAATTTCTTGAGGTTGTGCTTAACAAAAAATAATCCTGGCCCAACATTTTAAAATGAAAACAATCTGATTTACTTACTTCAACATGTTCAATAAGCTAATATTAGTATTGGAGGATGCATTAAGGGGGAGGGGGGTCTTTTGGTGAATTCACTCACAATTCTAGTTTTCTTTCTTTTATATAGAAATAAGAGATGCAGTATGATTGCCAATGAGACAACTATCCACGAGAGACCAAGGACATGGTGGTAAGCAACTTAAAAATCACTGTACGGGTACAGCCTTCAACAATGATCAAAACTGTAAGGAGACTTATAAAAGCCCTGGTTTTACAAAATGTGAAACAATTAAAACGAGTAGACCAACAACTGGATCTATGCTAAAACTGTAAAAATCAGTTGGAATTAGCTTGACTCTTCAGATTGGCACAAAAAACTATTAACAAAAAGACAAAAGACACTAATTACTGATCTTAGAGTTATCCCAGTTACTGAAAGCTAGTTCAAAGCCAATTACAACTAATAAATAAATAATGTTTTCTCCAAACTAAAATATGTTTGTCTGTTTTTACATACAAGAAGCAGAGAGTCTACCTATAATAAGACTAAAAACTAAAATTACTCTTTGGTCGCAGTTACATAGTTATAGTTTATGAATTAATGTTATTAAAACATCTATTGTATTAATGACACACATGACTGGGTTTAACGTCTTAAAGTTTCCAGATCAATGCAGACAAAGTTTTTAAAGTTTCCAGATCAATGCAGGCAAATGTAACAAATTAAACTAGATTCAAACATTTGACAAAATTCAACATTTAATTGGCACACTTAATAAATAATAACAAAAATATACACAAACATTGTGATGAACTCAGATATGTTTGTATTATTATTTACTTCAATGATGTTAAATAAATTCTTTTGTCATAATAAATTAAATCTAGTTAATTTACGGTATAAATACTGCCCAATATTTATATAATCTAATAAATGGCGGATATTCACTTATTTTGCAAAATGCTCTCTAATTTTGAGGACAGTTTTATTGAAAAATATTTTTAAAAAAAATTATAAATGCATTTTCATAGTCTTAAGGTAAACCCTTATTAAATTTTTATATGAATAATCAATTTCCAGAAACAAGAGATGGTATGCTTGTATATTTGTTGGTGTTAAAATCCACTGCCAGTTAACTTGGCTATCATCATGGCAATTAGTTTTTATAGTTGGAGAAAGTTGAGGAATACTCAGAGAAAACCACCAATTATTGGCAGAAAAACTGACAGCCTCATCATGAGCAGGGTTCAAACTGCCAGTAATCTAAATCTAGAATTACAATTAACTAGAGTTTTATTATTAGAAAAAAATAATGACTGCAATTTGATGCCCATAACCAAACAGATTTTCTAAGAAATGATTGCAATGGGTGTTTTTACAATAACATTCAGGTGAAATTGCAAAAGAATGAATGAACAGAAAAAATGTCAACCTCAGTTTATCCCAGTCAATTTCATTACGCTGCGTAGATTGCATAGAAATGTTTCATAATGCAGCCCTTTTTAAAGTTTGCATTCAATTGTTGGAAATTATTAATTTGTCCATTTTTATAAATGGTGTCCATAGCAACAACCTGGGTTATCTCCCCCTTGATGGCAACACTGCCATACATAGTTCACCCTGGATAACTTCCCTTTGTTTGTATACTCCTCACGCCTCTCTTTATTTCGTGAGTGATATCGACAGGCTTTTTTATGATTGTCATTCAGAGTAAACAATTTTTGGCATCGTAAACATTTAGAAACTTTCCCACCTTTTTTATATGACTTTCTGGTTCTTATCTCGTCCAGCGATCGAACCAATGTTCTGAATGTGCATGAGTGGTTGCTGTTAGTCTTGTCACTCCTTAGTTGTACTGAACCGTCACCACTTCCTCGGGATACAATACTATCTTGATATCTTCGTTTGCTTTTTGATTGTTGTTTTGATTTTATTGGTGGAGGTGGTCTTTCATTCTCTTTGCCTGCCTCTTTGCCTGGTGTTTGTAAGACATTTGTATGTGCACTGACCTCTAATTCTTGGTTATCGTTAGTTTGAATTGGTGGTTGTGGAAGCTGTCGACGAGTTGTCGTGTTTCCATCCCTCATTGACTCTGTATCAGAAGAACTTGCTGTCCTTGCCAGAAGTGGCCTTATTTTCATATTATGTGCAATCATTGATGCATGACTGTATTTCATTGTTGATTCAGAACCTTTACGAAACTGGTCAATTTGTGACAAAGCATCTTGTAATGAATTTTCTAACTTTTTGGCACTATGTTTGATTTTTTTCAGTTTCTCTTTGGTTATTTTAATGTCCTTATCATCTCTTGAAGAAGCATAACTTCTAATCGAGCTTGGTGAACTTGCACGGTCATAAATATTTGGGAACATTGTCTCAGAATAGCCGTTATGTTTCCCGCCTTTTTTACCTAGTATTTTTTCCTCTGTGACAGATTGTAAAATGTTTGTAAGTCTATCCAGATCTTGCTGTTTGTTATTAACCTGCTTCTGAAGTTTCCTAACCTCACTGGTCAGTTCCTTATTTTTCTGTTCTAGTGCTTCCATTCTCATGGTCAGATCAATTCTAGTGTTATCTGCATTCATTTGAGTTTCTTGTATATACGATTTCAACATCTTGCAGATAGACGACCCATCGTTATATTTTATATGTAAGACTTGAAGACATTCCAGACGGTCCTCTACTAACGAATTAATGAGGTCAGTAACACACTCTATATACATTGGCAGAGCCTTTTTTGCTTCTTCCTGTTCAATGTCTGCCAGTGTTTTGGTGTCCATGTTACAGCATTCAGATATAAGATGAAGTTGCCGAGCACAATCTTGAATTACACTTTGTACTTTGAGAGCTTCCCTGCGATGGTTTTCTATTTCTTGCATTGACATTTTGATTTTATAGGCCCAGCCTTCTCTTTCTTGCTGTATCATGCTCCCAAGCCATTGGGAAATCTCATCAATACCTTCATGTATGGTTTTTCCTTGAAGTACATGAGACTCATCCTCCAAAAATTGAGTTACGGCCCCTTGAATATCATCATCCGTACGAAAGGCTGTATAATGTTGTAAAGTTGGAGCTGGAGCGAGATGATTCATTATTGATGTTTTTTTTTATTATTTTTTTCTGTTACTTTTCAGTCATGTGATTACCACCTCCATGAAAAGCATCATTTGAAATCCTGCAAGAATAAAAAAAAAATCTAATTAAGTCTAACGTCATATATTATGCAAACAAAAAAAAACAAAACAAAAACATTAAACAATGTACACCCCTTTTGTTAATATAAGATAATTAGGAGATGTGGTATGAGTCAATATTTCCAATAAGACAACTTTCGGCCAGACCCCAAATGATGTAAAGTTCAGACAAATTCTTTTATAACACAGTATCGTTTAAGAGATTGGTTAAAATTTCTTTTTACTGTTCACTAAGAAAAAGATTATGACAGTCTGTTAACAAATTAATGATCCAATGCTGTAAAAGTTTATTTTTCAATTACCTAATTTCTTTTTAATTTGAGATTTTTTTGGCAAATGAAAACAACTTCTAGGTATTGGAAACTGTACCTGACAGCTTTTCATAAAAAAGACAAGAACATGTTCTGATGTGTATGAATGTGTAATGCACTTTAATCATACTGTCAGATTCTCTAAATTATAAAAGGCTTGTTCTACTTAATGGTATAAATGTGTCCCATCTAGGAGTTGTTTCTAAATTCTGAATTGTAAACAAAGTTATTAGTTCGAACTATTGTCTGATCAATTATGCTTGCTGGATTTTTGGTATCTAGATTTTTCTGCATCATCATAAACCAATGCTAGTCCATTATCAAATTTGAACATTATTTTCCAGTACATGTATATATTTTCATTTCTGCTTCCTCGTAACTTTCAGTCTAAAAATGAATGATTATGGGGAAAAAAACTTTGCATACATTGGCTTCAGTATTTGAATAAAAGTTTTGATATTTCTTTAATAAACGCACTCGACAAAAATTTATTTCTCATTGATATATGCCACCAGCTCGAAGTCTCCTTTTAAAAAACTGAAAATAGATTTGTGATGGCCTTAGTATGAAAAACATTTACACATTGTTTCCATTTAAATTCTATGGACAGAAAATAAACTCTCACTGACACTTTCACAGATATTTATCTGTTGTCAAATATGTAATGAAAATCCCTCATAAACCAGATAAACAAGTAATGTATACTTCAATTGTTATAAAATTATTGGTAGATAAGGACTGCTTACTGTCATTGAGTATTGACATATAATACGATAGGATAGATAACTTGCTTCTTTTGGGATAATTTTGTGTTGTTGGGTAACTGTCTCATTGATTTGATGTTCCTCACACATCCCCTTTTATTCATTTTCAATAGGAATATGAACAAACTTTCTTGATTTATATGAACATGAAGGTCTCCATCTTATAATCTCTGAATAGACGAGAGGTTAACGTTCACCTTTTTTAACAAACAAATGAGAGAGAAAAATCTTTTCTAAATCAAGGTCAAAAGTGTAAGGTGAAGGTCAGCTGATTATAGTTTGATTGAAAAAGCTTGCCTGCCTCTGCCCGGTGTTTGTAAGACATTTGTATGTGCACTCACCTCTAATTCTTGATTATCGTTTGTTTGAATTGGTGGTTGTGGAAGCTGTCGACAAGTTTTTTAAAGGGAGACTTGAGTTGATGGTATGGGTTTTGCTCATTGTTGAAGGCCGTACGGTGACCTATAGTTGTTAATTTCTGTGTTATTTGGTCTATTGTGGAGAGTTGTATGTTGGAAATTATACCACATCTTCTTATTTTTATTTGTACATATTATAGAGCCTGTCATCCTTATGTACGTCTTAATCAAACTTCAAAAAAATAATATGGGGATAACCTTTTATTTCTTGATTGCTTTTTACTACTAAATTGTTTATCTTGATGACTCATATATCTTGTTTCAGACATATATGACTATTAAAGAATACGACAAACAATTTTTACAAAAGAACAGACATTCTCCTTATATGAGTTGAAAATAATTCTAAATAATGACAGACTTTGAAAGATTGGAACACATTTTTTTAAGTTGGCAAATATTCAGAAATATTTGAAACTTCTTTAATCCTATACTTAATTATACCCTACCCCCTCCAACCCTCCCCCTTGCCACCATCACCACCACCCCTGTGACCACCAAGCATCTACAGCGTAATTGCACTCATAAAAAGAAATGATCTTCAAATAATTGAACTGGTTTTGGAAGGTGCTTAAATAATATATATTTACATACTTCAACCATTAAAATAAATATAGCCTCAGTTGATATCTTATATATAGATTGTTATCTTTGTGAAAAAAAGTATCATATATAAAATTTAAATGATCAATATGTATTAATAATATATTTCAAAAGTTATTCTGGCAATGGAACTATACAAACAAGTTTTGAAAATATTTAAACTCAACAGATTTATTTTATTTTTGTAACTAAATATCTCGTAAATATTTTATAAGGAGGTAATTAATTGCTAATTTTAGTAGCAAACCTTTAATTTTTTCTTTAATGTTCCAAGTTCTACAGTTTCAAAACATTGGAGTATGGTTAGTTTAAACACTTTCTTTTCAATTAGTATTAATTTAATAGAGGTATATATTGCTGTGTCAGCACTGAACACTCAGAATACATCAGATCAAAATGGTTTCTGTGAGAAATCAATGTATTTATGTATGTACACTCTATTTACTCATTCGACCCCAAGAATGGGGTATGGAGGGTCTGACATACGGGCCATCAAAGAATGGTGGTCGCCACCACAACTACAGGCGGGATTGGGGGTGATGGGGTTAAATTTATTGTACCAAGCCTCTGTTGATGAAATGAATGGATGATAAATAGTCTTGTCATCTTCAACTTCATACTTTATTTGGCCTTTTTTAACATTTTTGATTCGAGGGTCATTGGTTAGTCTTATGTAGATGAAACACATGTTTGGCCAGTGCGTTTGGCATACAAAATTTTAAGCCCCTGAGTATCTCTGATAGTTTATTAATGGAACACTTTCAGCAACACATGTAATGATCCTGCTCTGCAAATCATCCAAAGATGAATGAAGTGATTTACAGAGTACTTGATAAAAAGAAATTTAGAACTTCTAAAGGAGAAAAATTTGAATCTCAATTGACTTGAATATTCATGTGAGTATAAGAATAAGAAGATGTGGTATGATTGCCAATCGAGACAACTCTCCACAAGAGACCAAATGACACAGAAATTAACAACTATAGGTCAATGTACAGCCTTCAACAATGAGCAAAGCCCACACCGCATTGTCAGCTATAAAAGGCCCCGAAATGACAAATGTAAAACAATTCAAACAAGAAAACTAACGGCCTAATTTATGTACAAAATAATGAACAAAAAACAAATGTGTTACACAGCAACAAACGACAACCACTGAATTACATTTTAGCTCCTGACTTGGGACAGGCACATACAGAATGTGGCAACTGTTTATTTGTAAACCTAACTTGCATTATGCATCCACATCCTTTGGTCTCTGTTGGAAAGTTAAAATTTCTTATTCATGACAATCATACCACATCAGATTTTTTTGTAATTGGAAGAAGAAGAAAAATTTACAGCAATAAAGATTTCTCTTACTTCGAATTTTTCTTTTTTTTCGTTTGTACTTTAATAGCATATTAACCCAGTTTGTACTTTTATAGCATATTAACCCAGTTTAATGCTGAAGTATTTAGGGACAAAAATACACAGGAAAGGACCTCCATTGTTCATTATCTAGAAATCAATTTTTTTATTTAGTAATGCCAGAGCTAAAGTTTTTTTCAATAATATTTACTTTGAAAGAAATTAAACCTTGTTACAAACAGAGAGGAAAATTGAAAACACCATAGTTTTGATACTTTAAAGCTGCAGATAGTCAAATATATTGATCTTGTAAAAATACCTCGACGGAAACACAACTATTTTAATGAATAAGCTGATAAATTTCTGGTCACAAAACACTAATACATAAATCACATACTGTCATTTTGAATTACTTTCCCCATAGAAACCTAACAATTTTAATGAATTAGCTTAGGTAATACACCTAACCAATTATAAAACATTGTGTTTAACAGATTTTACTCAAACTTAAGAGAAATCCAATAAAATTCAATATTTTTTCAATTTCAAAGTGATTTTCTACACAGCGATACCTATAGATTTCTCTTTATGCTAAAAAACCAAACATACTAAGTACCAAATTTGTCATTGATAAGCTTCTGCAATAGAAAATTAAGCTTGGAAAGTTGTAAACCCTTCTTATTATACCCCTGCTCCTTGGGAGGTATACTGTTAAACCCCTGTCTGTCCGACCATATGTCTGTCCCATGAAATTCATGTTGCAATTTTCTCAGGAACTACAAATCAGAGCTTACTGAATTTGTTTCTCTGGCTTCAGGTAACAACATGCTATACGGTGTGACATGTTTTGAGATTCATGGTTTTTCAACTTCCTGTTTACCGAATACTTATATATTATAAACTGAATACCTCAAAATTAAACTGAGTACCGACTCAAAGGAGTTTAAACAAAATTTAAGCACTCATTAATTGTCTCTTTCAAAACCATAGAATATTAGATGCATTACAATAAAGAGATGTGTAAGACAAACACTAGGCCCTCTTGTGCATTAAACACCCAATGGATGTTTTAAGAAGTTGGCAGGTACATCTGTACACAATTTGTAATTCTATTGATCAAGAAGTTAAATCTTTGAAAGTTTGTAAAACTGATTCACAACTTGTCTGGACTCCGGACAATTTTTAGCTTCTTATATGGTGTAGACTTTAGATTCACATAATGGTGCAGATTTTAGCTTTTTAGCTTCTTATATAATATAGTGTAGATTTTAGCTTTTATAAGCTTCACTAATGGTTTAAACATTTGTCTATTGTTGAAGGCATATTATTATGCTGACCTTAAGATGCCTTTTTGTTTATAATGACATTACATAGGTATTTCATACAATTCAGTAATTTTGATTGGTTGTGGCATTCCAAAAGTTAAATTTTATTTCCCAATATAACATGTATAGACTGCACGTGCGATCCATTAAATAACATTAAAATAATGCACCGAAAAAAAAAGGTTTGATTACAGTTGGCATAAAAATGTCTGTTTAAAAATTGAATAATCCTTTTTGTAATTCTTTGGAATTATATAAGGGTTGAAAATAGGCAAGTTTTTAGTACGAAGATCATCCAAGCTTCATACAAAATGTGCTTTGGTTAATGCTTTTACACCACAATAAAATCACAAAAAGAGGCATTCAGGTCTTCAATAAAATTGTTAAGTAAGCTGTTTGTTTGATCTATACAGCACATCTATTTAGCATTACATTTCTAATTATAAGCCTTTCAAGCATTTGAAATCATCTGTCTTTAAAATAGATTAAGAATTTATTTTTCTTTGATTTTGCAACATTAAACTTACATGTAATTACTGGTTTTAATAGAAATTCTGAACCATTCTTAGCAAAAATCAACATGAATTTCAAATTTTGGTTATTATATGAATTTTACTGCAAATTAAGAATGTGACAGATTTCCTTCAATGAATACATAATTATTAAGATTTTTTTCAGAAAAAATAAATAGATATGATATTGAAACTATACAGTTTTACCAAACCTTCTACACATTTTGGAAATTTATATCCAGAAATTATATCAGTCCATGATTTGAAGGTGACAGAAATTCTACATTAGGTTTACACATCATTTAAACATCTATTCCGATCTCTTTAAAACAGTTACATGGCTTTGACTATCTGATATCATAGGCCAAGGGGAGATAATTATTTAGTTATGATTACATTTAAAGCTAATAATAAGTTATTTAATGATTTTGTAGTTTTGAAATGATTTATGAATAGATTTTTGAAAAGGAAATTGAAATTTCACTGTTGGAGTTAACACCTTTCCCCAAAAAAGCTTATTAAATCAATAAGACAGATTGATATGTATTGTATTGAGGGCATGTGCTGTAAAAGTATGTTTGAACATTGACAAAAAGAAATCTAGATGAATTTTAGAGAATAATAAAACAAACTTTGTGTATGCTTAAGAGTTTTTTGTTTGGAGTGGATTGATTGTAGTCTAATATTCCACCTGCATAGAATCCTAAACTGTATTCCATTTTTTCAACTTAAGCTCTATCACATTGCAGAAATAATGGTAGTAGTTGTCACAGTTTGAATTTTAAAATGGTCAATTTCCCTACAGACTGAAATTTCAATTACTAACAAATAATAGTTATTCATAACAGCCAGGTAGAAGGGGAGGGGGATACATGATGAAAAAAAAAACAATAATGTTATCACAGTTTTGGAATGAAATATGAACACAGACAAAATAATCTAGCATCGTTTGGTCATAGGAGACACAAATTATATAGAAAGTATAAAAAAGGGAGATAACTCATTTAAATACTGTTTAGAATATATAAAAAAAAAAAAAAACTTTTCAAAAACTGATGCAAATTGTACCAGTAATTTAATGAATTAAAATCATGAAATCTGCATTATTTTTTATCTTGTATATATAATGGACCCTGCCTGGTTTTGGGAAATAGCTGTACAGTGTACTTAAATACCATACATTTCCTTCTATTTGATTGTATTAGTAAAGTAAACGATAAAGTTCAATTATAAAAAATTTCAAGCTTTTTTTTTGTTTGTCCTAATTTTGACAATTAGAAACATTATTTAACCCAGTATAAAGGACTGTGTAATTATCAAATTAAAATCATATTTTAATTTGAAAAACATTGTATACAATGAGGGATTGAACAGGTTAAGTTTTAGGTAACCTGTCCCCTGCGTAGATTTTATATTGATCAATAGAGGTTATTTAATTGACATATACTAACACAAATATTTGTTAAATTGTATCCTAAATATATATTAAAGCAATCATTTAAATAAATTTACACATTGTTATTTAAGTGTACTCAATTCCTACAGATACTTATGTTTGTTTGGGATGCCTGAGCTTAAAAAGGTGAATAAAGGACTAAACGAACAACTAATATGAATATATATGATAAATGCTGATAAGACAGCCACCCAACAATGTAAAATAACCAAACAAGACATTTTAATTCTGTTAAACTAGCTTAAAAAATAAGAGATCAGGCCTTAGTTTGAGTCATGAAGACTAATGATAATTTATAGGTTCACTAGGCAACTCTTCATTTATCTTTGTTGGACTTTATTTCCCACCATCATCTCTCTTTGATATTCTCAGTGATAATCATGATAATGTGTATGTCTGTCTGTGTGTTGGAAACAAATGGTTTAATTTGAGTTTCCCTAATTTGAATAAAATGAAAATTTTACCAATACAATATAAATAATTTATTAAACAAATACCATTGATAAAGTAACTTGCTCTTGCTTGATCTAAACAAAATGTATATATACCAGTGGCCATAATGATATAGGGAATGGCTAGAAACCTATTGATTAAGGGGGCGACAGGTCAATGTTCATGGTCACTGTTACTAAAATAGAAATTCTTTAAACAAATTATTTTTGGATGAAATCTTGAATTTCGCTGGGTTGATTAAAAAAAAAGATAGAATGTCCTTTGCCCTCCTCAATGATTTCATCTGAGGTTTTAACACAATATGAGATTTAACATTTATTTTAGCAAAATATTTCTACAAAATAAAAAACTCCAAGTGATCAGAATCTTAAAGGATTTTACCAAATTGAGTTCAAACAGTTTTATTGTCTCGCCGCAGCAACTTGATGAGAAGAGACTTAGGCTTGCTGTTTTAGGCAACAGCATTAACAATTAGTTAAAGTTTAAGGAAAACCACTTACGATAAGTGAATGCCATTTGGTTTGCAGCTGTTTTAGCATTGACCCAACAGTTCAGATGTTAAAGTTTGTGATTAAGGTCAGTCTAAGGGTACATTTGGTATGCAGTTGTATTAGCAGTATCAAATCACATTTCCATAGAGATTATATGCACTGTATCTTTAGCCATGGTTTAAAAACTTTAAATGTTTTGCAAAGTATTACAGTTTTAATTTCACCATTTCATTTTACTATCGGAATATATATATATTGGCAAAACATATTTCTGTATCAACAGTTTATTGGACTACTTTATTCACTGACAAAATAATATACAACTTGCTTTTAAACTGCAGACTTCAGACATTTTATTACTTTTTTTAAAGCTGATATGTTAACAAGGGCATTATAAGGACTTTAAGTAAATATACCTAGTATATGATATATAACAGCTTTCATACAGTATAAGTTTATATAAATATCTGAAGTGTTTAATTTATTAGATTGAATTATCTCCCCTCAATAAATTTTCTATTATGTGAATAGATTTTTTTGTAGACTATATTAAATACTGAATTGAGAAAGGAAAAATTCTGTATCTATTTAGATTTTTGGAAGTATAAGTTTGACAAACATAATATTGTTATTTGTTGCTTTTCTAATTTTCATGCTTTTTTCACATTTCTCGATCGGTGTGAGAAAAATATTTCTCATCTCTTAGAGAAAACTTCGTTCTTGACAAATGATTGGTCAAATTCAATTATGACATCAAATTTCCTTGGTTTTCCTGAATTTCCTATTGTGACGTCATGAAAAAAAGTGACCATGCCTGATGAAGTCACATATAAAGAACACAACTTTCTGCAAGTCTTCGAAAAGGAAGGATAAACTTTGTTTGATATCATCTAAAAATCATAAGAGAAACGAGATTCCACCACTATAACTCGTGTATTACGATATTTCTCCACTCTCAACAGTTAAATTTTAATTATTTAAAAAGCTTGGCAAGCCTCACGCTTTAAATATTGAAATTTAACTGTCTCGAGTGGAGAAATATTGTAACACACTTGTTGCAGTGGTGGAATCTATATTTCTACAATCATTGATTAAGCTCAGATTTACAAATACAGTCTTGATCAATGCATTTGTCCTAAGTCAGGAATCTGATGTTCAGTAGTTGTCGTTTGTTGATGTGGTTCATAAGGGTTTCTCGTTTCTCGTTTTTTATATAGATTAGACCATTGGTTTTCCCATTTGAATGGTTTTACACTAGTAATTTTGGGGCCCTTTATAGCTTGCTGTTCCATGTGAGCCAATGCTCCGTGTTGAAGACCGTACTTTGACCTATAATGGTTTACTTTATAAATTTTGACTTGGATGGAGAGTTGTCTCATTGGCACTTATACCACATCTTCTTATATCTATTTGATTTAACTGATTATGTTTTATTTTCTATTATGCTCATAAATTTGAATGATAAACAATCAGGCACTTTAGTTAATAATGACAATAATTACATAGAAATTGTTAACTGTTTAGTTTATTAATTTAGTTACTAGTTTAGTTTAGTTTTATTAGGTTTTTTAGTCTTTTAAATTCAATCTATTTGTTTGTATCTGTATAATTAATAAATTACAGTTCATAACATGGTGTGTTTAAGTTAAAGCTGTATAGAGATAAGTTTAGTCATTTCACAACACTTTGAGGGGTCTGTAGGTGACCTGTTGCAAGGCAAAATTTCTGTTCCCTATCAGATATATCCTCATTTTCCAGGGGCATTCAAAATTTCCCACCCATCATTCCAGTCGATCCCGTATTGTAGGACCTACCTATTGTATTATTGTCAACTTGTTCTCGTCCTGAACATGCATGAAATATTTGCCACTGGAGGTAGGCAAACCAAAATCTAGCAATTTATTCATTTAACACAAGGAGTTTATGATTTCCTAATTGTAAATCTCCCATTTATGTATTTACCTCTTCAGAATAAAACTTGAGCTCCAGCTTTCCTCTTCTTTGACAGGTTATAGAATTTCCAAATCAGTGTATCATCCAGTAAGCATAGAATTGAATGTCTTCAACCACACATTTTGTTATATTTAAGATATTATCCTAGTATAATTACATTTAGTCCAGTTCCTGAAAATCGTTTTATACAAAATTAGGTATAACAAGTATATATATGTTCTTTAAAAACTTATAGTTAAATACAAACAAAATATTACTTTCTGTTTGAAATTGATTTACTCCTAGACTCATACATTGAGACCTGTCTAAACCGAACCTTTTTGGGACTTATATAGGGTTTTGTTTGGTTTTGGCAGATGTTTGGTTTAATCTGAGGTTCACAACAGATAAAAGTTGTTATGCCTGGACTTAAGAACATATTAAAATATGAAGATGTGGTATGATTTGGACAGGTTTTCGGTTTATGTAAGATTTGGTTTAGACAGGTTTCACTGTAGTAGATAATCCTTGAGAATTGATAGATTTCTTGTACTTTTAATGAGTTGATGTCATTGGCCCTTCTTTAAGTAAGTACCAACAGAATTCCCCCCTCCCTTCCATTGATAAGGTCTGATTTATAATTTACTGAACAAGTGCAATAGATATAAAATAAAAACATGTTGTATGATTGCCAATGACACAACTATCCACCAAAGACCAAATGATATACTGTAAATTTAGAAATTATTGTGAGGTTTTAATAATGTGAATAATGTGACTGAGAGAGTATTGCAATAATAAGAATTCTCATTCTGATATCTGAAGCATATATCTGTCAGTATGCAACTTTTCAGGAAATCGCAATAACTAATCTCCCATTTTTGTCCATTCTTCAAAAATCTCAATAATAAATGCATGCAATAATTTCAGAATTTACAGTATATGGTGAAGCAAATAAAGATCACAGTACAGCTTTTAACAATAAGCAAAACTCATACTGATTTTAAACAATCTAATCCCGGCATGACAAAATGTAAATCAATTCAAGTGAGAAAACAAACTGCCAGATTTTTATGTACAAAACAACATAAGAACAAATATGATATACAGCAACAAACAACAAAAACAACAATCAGATTACAGGACAGGCACGTACAGTATGTGGGATGTTAAACATGTTTGCATGCTCCCAAAATTTGAAGCATTTTATTTAATTTTTGTTCTTGAGATGCTGAGGTGGGGGGTCATTTGAAGAGTGAAGACCTTTCAATTGTTAGTTTGCAGGTTTGGATCCCAAAAAAAAAAATGAAAATCAACAAATGAAACACTAAAATCTAATCTTAAAATTTACAGTTAGGATTCAAAAGTTGAAATGTATAAAAAATGGAATTAAAAGTGCCATTTTTCTTTTTTCAGATAATGAAAATATCTTGAAAATTGATGATTATTTCAAACTTTTATAGTTTACTGTAATATATAAAAAGAATTTTAAGATGTACAAAATAATTTTTACTAACCAGAATAAAGGTAGCTCACCAATTTCTTCATTGAAATCTGTGTTAATTATTAACGAAAACATTTTGACACCAGACTATTTAAAGCAACTATTGATAAATATTTTTAATTTTTTAATTGTCAGTTTAAAAAATATTTTTTCTTGAGAGGACAAAAACTTGTTAAATATATAATACAGTGAAGGGTATTGTGACAGTGTAAATACAGGTTTAATAGCATGTATATAAAAGTAAGGATGTGTGGTATGATTGCCAATGAGACATTATTTACTTTCACTAGAGACCAGAGGTCTAGTATGGTCTGTTATTGGCCCCTTTTTCTTGCAAAATTTTAAATAAGGATTTAATGGTCTTTACCTTTTTGTATCATAGTTAAAACTATAGTAAGTAGGTTTTTATGCCCCCGCCGTAGTGGAGGGGACATAAATTGGTACCCTTGTCCGTTCTGTCCGTCTGTCTTGCCCGTCGTGTACGTCCCTAAAATTGGTTTCTGTTCTCTAACTTTAGTTTGCCTCAACCAAATGTTGTAAAACTTATACACAATGCTTATTACCACAAAACACAGATCAAGTTCGAAAGTGGGGGATGTCACTTCTACTGTTCATGAGTTACGCCCCTTTATAAACATGAAAATTGCTGATTTTTTTTTTTCAGTTCTCTAACTTTAGTTTGCCTCAACCAAATGTTATAAAGCTTCTACACAATGCCTATTACCACAAAACACAGATCAAGTTCAAAAGTGGGTGGTGTCACTTTCATGGTTCTTGAGTTATGCCCCTTTATAAATGGAAAAATTGCTAAATCTGTCATTTCAGTTCTCTAACTTTAGTTTGCCTCAACCAAATGATATGGAAATTATAATCACAAAACAGTATTAACTATGTGAATCCTGCATCTGTATGTGGAAGTTAACTCATGCATATTTATAAGCGGGGGCATCTGTGGCCCATAGACACATTCTCTGTTTACTTTTAATGAGTACGAGTCACAGTACAGCTTCTTATTACTTCAAAATCTTTGTATTCAATTTTTCACAACATATATTGAAAAGACTCTGTGACAAATGTGTCAAAAAATATTATCCTTTACCATTATAAAATAGAATTGAGAATGGAAACGGGGAATGCGTCAAAAAGACAACAACCTGACCAAAGAGCAGAAAACAGCCGAAGGCCACCAATGGGTCTCCAACACAGAGAGAAAATCCCGCACCCGGAGGAAGGCTTCAGCTGGCCCATAAAAATAATGTATATTGGACTTCATACTCCGAAACATATAAATGAACCAAAAAAAACCAAACATTATGTTTGTTATAAAACTAACGTATCAGACTTCAATATTTAGTTTGTTGAAGCAGTTACTCTTATTGCAACCTGAGGCATGAAATGATGTATGTTTGAAGGTTTTGTAATCATTTACCAAAATCTCTATTAAGTTTCTGTAGTACCTTATATTTCCCTTATATATCCCAGCTAGATATATGCAAACACAAGAAATGGATATACTAGTGAAAAAATATATTTCAACTTTCTCATCTTGACCAGAGAGGGAATTAACTCCTAATGTTGCCTTTGTAACCCCCTCCCTTTTCGTAATCTTGGATGCACCTTTACTGTTGACATTGTATGTATTTTTAAACAGCATGTGTACACCTATATACACCAATATTCAAGTGGGGTTTGTATTTTCTCAATTTTTAGTTTTCCATTTTTTTTTTCAGCGGTCATCTTTTTCTCTCTTTTTTTTTTCATTGGCAATTTTTGACTGCCACTGTGACAAAAGTATTCTCTACCTGTGTTATAGATATCCAATGTTGTGGCACTCAGAAAAAAATTCAGTCAAGATGGATCAAAATTAAAAAATGGATGTAAATCTGTACAATAATTACAGTTCTTACCTTTAATTACAGTTTCCAGTACCTGATTACATTCAGTCAGACAGGATTGTAATGATTTTTGGATTACTTAATTACCAGTTAAATAATCACACATGGTTATACATATTTTATGATATTTGTCTAGAGTGACTTTTAATGGTATTTATTGTGGGTTGTAAACATAAAACACTTTCATTGATATAAAGAACTGTATTTCCCATTGTATTTAAATCTAAGGGTATGTTTCAAGTGTTATGGAATAGATAGATAGGTTTGCTGGAGTTATTAGTATAAAGCTTTTAATCCATTTTAAAGTTCTCTTTTGACTTTGAAATATTGATCTCATACTTGTAGTATTGAGAGAGATGTTGAAAAAATTGATATTTTAGTTGAAAGTTAGATTATGATATATTTGAAAAAAGTGAGGTGTACATTACTTTCACATCTCTTTGAAAACTGAAGTCCCCATTGACTGTTGTTTCTGATCTTAATTGTAACAATGCAATCTTGCCTAATAAAATAGTAAGTGGAATACTGTTTCAAATTAAAGAGTGATTTTGTTATGTCCTTATGAAAAGATAACCACATTCTTACCAAATACATGTCCTTAATGAAAAGATAACCACATTCTTACCAAATACATGTCCTTAATGAAAAGATATCTAATTCTTACCAAATACATGTCCTTAATGAAAAGATATCCACATTCTTACCAAATACATGTCCTTAATGAAAAGATATCTAATTCTTACCAAATACATGTCCTTAATGAAAAGATAACCACATTCTTACCAAATACATGTCCTTAATGAAAAGATAATTCCACATTCTTACCAAATACCAAAGATTGTTTGCAGTCTTAACAGGGAAGTATGAGTACTGGTTTCCCACAATAACTTTAAAACTGTACAAAGCCTTGATTTTTTTTTTGGTCAAACCAGGTCTCCAAATGCTATTGAAAATAATGTAAATGGCCAAAATCTTTAAGAATTTCTTGAATTTCAAAGGATAATTGGTAGATGTTTCAAATTTCAAGGACAATTTCCCCTTTCCCCATGGTGCATCTTATTTGGAATAACTTGCATTCAGTCTTTGACATGTTTGTAAGAGGCAGCATGATTAATACATAACTTAAGTCATGACTTGTAAGGCTACAATGATGTAGCATACTTTTTTCTTCAGAAAAAAAAACTTGCATTGGCCAAATAACTTCATTGGATATGATAATTTGGTAATGTCAAAATGGGAGATAACTCATGTTTTAATCATTTATGATGAGTTTATTTACAACCACTGTGTCAATGCCTCTGCTGGTTGAGGTTTCCTGTCGGAGGGTATCACCAGCTCATTAGTCTTCACGTCTGTGTTGACATGAACAATCATTGATATGGTCATAAAAATACATTAACTGTATACAAAACTTTGAATATATCATAATACTAAGGATTTTCTACCACAGGAATAGATTAACTTAGCTGTATTTGGCAAAACCTTTCAGAGTTCTTGGTCCTCAATGGTCTTCAACTTTGTACTTTATTTTGCCTTTTAAACTTTTTTGATTCAAGCGTCACTGTTGAGTCTTCTGTTGACAAAGTGCAGTGTGCGTCTGGCTTATTAAATTTTAAGCCTGCTATCTACTTGATTTTAATTTAGCCTATAAGGTTTTTTTTAAATTTATTTCCAGTTAAAGAAGCTGTGAAACTAAACAGAGATTTAATGTACACAAATGAACACCAGAAATGTATCATAGAACAACATAAAAGGGAGATTACTCAACTCAATGGTCAGATTCTGGATACAAAGGTCAAGGTTGAATCCAAACCTTTAGATTACAGTAGAATTGAGCAAGAACAAGAATTGTTAAATCTTAAACAGCAATTAGAAATTGTAAGAAATAAAAAAAAAACAACATTTTATTATTGTAGTATATACACATTACAAATAAATGAGAAAATAGTTTCTAAATACACTTGTTTCAACTAAGTCTGTATTAAATAAAAAAATAATGAGAGAATAGAAGATACATCAAAATGCCAGTGTTACCCAATGACTCAAAAAAAAAAAAAAAAAATACTTTCACAAACATACCTACTTTCACTTTTTTATTATCTAACCTGCAATGAAAGTCATGGAAGTGAAACATAACAATTGGGTCTTCAACATAAATTTCAGTCTATGGTTTAAACATGGACGTATATTATGGTTATACGTCCTTGGTTTAAACTTTATAAGGCATCAACATTTTTGTCAACCCTGCTTAAAATTTTACAAAAAATGAACAGAAACTGCATCATGATCAAAAGACAGAATATCCAAAGTAAAATTTTGAAATTTTCTTATATCATTTTGATAAATGAAGTTAATTTTTTGGTATTAGATATTTAAGGATGTTCGCTACTCTGTTTCAAAATAGCAAGCTTTTCAAAAGGCTGTTCATCTTCGCTAGCCAAGGGTTACGATCCACTTCCCTCCTCTCCACCCTTGGCAGATTGGGATAGAATTTCGGAGAAACAAGGTAATGATTTTCATAGGTTGCAGTCGAAACTCACTGCATCCAATCAACTTATTTGAAAATTTAATTGTTTTTATTTTAATCATTGCACAAATAAGTATAATGAAAAATATTTTGAATACAGGGATCTTTATTATGTTTCCAAGGTTGAATATTTCATCACACAATTTTCTAATTCTTTTTTTATGCAGATTTTACTATTTTAGGAGAGAAAAGATCATACAGAGACAGAAAGGGAACTTAACAAGTCCACTACTAATTATAAGGTACTATAGAGATTTATTAGTTTAAAGCTCGTGGTCCCTACGCTACTAATATCTTCAACTTTATTTTGTTCATCTATGGAGGAGAGACCTTGACAGTGAAAATTATGATATTCTTGATAACTATGGAGACTGCATGTTTTCAGGTTTAAGTCTGTTAATAACCCTGAAGTTGTCATTGCATCAGTTTGAAACTAAATATACACATTTTTGTCGAGCCTGCGACTTCTGTCGCAGAAAGCTCGACATAGGGAAAGTAATCCTGCAGCAGCTGCGGCATTAACTAACTTCTAAAAGGCTTTATATTTTAGAAGGTGAAAGACCTGGATGATTCATACTTTGTATATAGATGCCTTATGTTATGAAATTTCCGTCTGTCATATGTGTGTTGTCCTTGTGGTTCAGTAACTACTTGAAAAAAAAGTTAAGATTTTTTGTTATGTTGATTTCTCTCTTGTTATGAGTAATAGGATAACTATATTTAGTATGAAACATACCTTACAAAGTCCTCATGCCTGTCAGACAGTTTTCATCTGACCTTGACCTCATTTCATGGATCAGTGAGCAAAGTCAAGTTCTGGTGGTCAAGTCCATATATCAGATACTATAAGCAATAGGTCTACTATATTTTGTGTATGGAATGATTATGAGGTGTACATGTCCAACTGGCAGGTGTCATCTGACCTTGACCTCATTTTCATGGTTCAGTGCTTAAAGTTAAGTTTTTGTGTTTTGGCCTTTTTTTTCTAAAACTGTATACAATAGGTCAACTATATTTGGTGTATGGAAATATTTTACAATGTACATGTCAGTCTGGCAGGTTTTATTTGACCGTGACCTCATTTTCACAGTTCATTGCTCAGTGTTAAGTTTTTGTGTTTTGGTTTGTTTTTCTTGAACTAAAACCAATAGGCCAACTATATTTGGTGTATGGAATGATTGTAAGGTGTATATGTCTGTGTGGCAGGTATCAATTTCATGGTTCATTGGTCAATGTTAAGTTTTCCTGGTTAAGTTTGTTTCTTAGAACCTATAAGCAATAGGTCAACTATATTTGGTGTATGAAATGATTGTAAGGCGTACATGTATTTCCGTTTGGTTTATCTGACCCTGACCTCATTTTCTTGGATTATGTTAAGTTTATGTGATACTTGTAGTAAAGCTTTATATTTAGGACTATCAGCATAAAATCAATGGTCAGTAAAGCAGGTTAGACATTTCAGCCTGTGCACTCTTGTTAAATATATGCTTAATTAGGGTTTGGACAAGATTTTATTTTTCAATTAATTTATAAATGAGATAGTTTGAGCATGGCTTGGTGTCATTTTGACGTGTATTCTTGTTGTCTCGCCTTCCCAGTATACAAGACATAGGGATTACTATCTGGCAGCATAAACTATTTATATAAAGCTTTATATTTCAGAGGGTAGAATACCTGGATGCTTCATATCTTGTATGCAGACCTCATTTCCTTTGATCTTAAAAATGTTAAGTGTATGTTATACAAATGTTAAGTAAAACCTTTATCTTTAAGACTTTCAACATAAAATCAATGGTCAGTAAAGCAGGTGAGACATTTCAGCTATGCAATCTTGTATTTAGCTTATAAATGAATAAAAAAAGATGTTTTAGCCATCAACATAATCGAATTTTGAAAAAATATCATACAAATTTGAGCAATTTTTTTTTTACTGAATATTAATGTTTATTTTGAATTGTTAATCATAAAAGTCTCAATGAATAATTATGAACAACCTCTGTGGCAAGAGATTAATTCTTTACCACAATCTTTATTTATCGACAGTAATTATAGTAGAAATTTCAGAAACAATATGGTTCTTTATTTCCATTTCATATTGGAAAACAATGAGACAATTTAAACAGGAAGTGTTTTACTTAATCAGGGTAGATAATCAATACTTTGTACAATAGATGTCATTCTCAGTAGAACATTTACTCAGTACTTGCTGGAGATGGATTTATTGTTCATGGTCATTGTTAATTTGTTTTTCCTTAGACTATGCTAGATGATTGAGAGTAATGGAAGTGTTATTGTTTTGACTATGAATTCCAGTTTCTGTGACAATTTGATATCATTCATTCTCAGCGTTCAGGCACAATGTTACAGACTTAAGAGAAGATCTTATTAATTTTGTTTTTAATAGAAATTTTCTCTTGTCCTTGATCTCCATATAGGAACAAACTTTATTTTATATTTTGAATTTTTCAGTATGACCTTTGAAAAGAAGGCATTTGATGCTTGAAAATAAAAGCAATTGTTATACCTTACATATATTATAAACAAACCTATTGGGTAATACATGTACATTATCACGTGACATGGAATAATTCAGTTAATTTTCATTTTAATGTAAAGAAGGATGAATAACCCTGATAATTAATACTCAGCTGTGAATAACCTTATTATTCACTGGTGAATAACCTTTTCAGCCCCATGGTTTTTGCATGAATTATCTCCAATAAAAAATGACATCATTGATGCCTGTAAACAAAATGGCAACTGCCAGGCAAGAAGCCTATCAAGTAACGAGGAAACAAGGTCAAACAAGGCGGGATAAATTATCTAGTGCCGAGGATTTCTCGCGTTAACGGTTCTTTTCAGGGCCCTCTATATTTTACAGAAAGAGCCTACCTTTGTTGTACATACCAGAAATTCTAAGACACGAAATAGTTTTCTAACGTCAGTATTTTGATAATCTTTTACTACTGTACTGTAAGGCAATATTTTTTAAATGGTTCAAGAGACCCTTCCAATATTAGTTCGGTATAAGAAAACAATTGTGGCCCCCTTTGAATAGATGAATATCCAAAATTGTCAACCCTAAAAAGTTATTTCACTTTGAGGTGCGCCCTCAGTGAAATAACCTTTTAGGGTTGACAATTTTTGGATATTCACCTTTTCAACAGGCCATAATTGTATATTATTCTACCCCTTTTAAGAGATAACATATTGTTTAGTAGCAAGTCTTCTTGTTTTGAAATATTTTCATAAAAACTGGCAGTGCCATAACTATTTTATTGTATGACATAGACTAATAATATTTGGTATTAAAGTGTATGTGCATAAGGCATTGTGTTGCATGTCATCATGACCTGTATTTCACCTCGATCTTTATGAGATAAAATATAATTCATATGAAAAGCCTTCATTTTGTATGGATTGACAATAATTTGGGTTCGTCTAATCAGAAAAGCATCTTAATTTCCTGTAGAAGAATTATCAACAACATTCTGTAATATTGTAATATATACAATGTAGTTATTATTTGTCTCTGCTGTGTTCTATTTCATCTATTGTTTAAGAAATAAATCTTACATGTCATGATAGTCAGTAAATTTGCAAATACCCTTATACTGAGTGTTATTGAGGTGTAGAATATTGATAAATATAATGCCTACTCATGTAAAGAGGAGCATAGAGCATAAAATGAAAGATTTAATTACCCCACCCCAACCCCCTCTTTTTTTCTTTCCCTCCTCTTATGACATTTAATTCCATTTCTACACGACTAGAAAATAGCGATATGTTCCTTGTTTTGTGTAACAACCTGTCTAATTTCTGTATTTTTTTTGTTGGGTTGCTTTCTAATTGGCTATGACCATGTTTGTAGTAATTTAAGTTTAGATAAAGTAATCTTCATTGCTGTAATTATATTATTTTCTTTAATTAATTTGTCTAGATTTTTTGGCAGGAAACTTTAATAAAATTGCAAGATTCTCACAAGCTGATAGAGCGCCATCTACAAAATGCTGAGGCACACCAAAGGGAAAACAATTCATTGTCAACTGAACTAGAGACTTGTAAAGAAAGATTAAAGAAACTTCAGATTGCATTGGATTCTCTCCACAAAGAACTAGTTATACAGAAATCAGTATACAGTGAATCCAATGTAAAATGGCAGAAAGAGGTACAGACTTTAATCTCTCCAGTCAGTGCTATATATATTTAGTTTAATCTTGTACAGATATTTATTTCTTTATACCCCTGCAAAGTAAAGGAGTAAATCTTTGCCTCTGTTTGTCTGTCCATGTGTCCATCCCATGCAATTTTTCACATTTAAGTTAACTCAGGATCTACTAATTAGTGCTTCCTGAAATTTAGTATGAACCTTCCTGTAATTATGCACTTGCCATACAGTGTGATGCATCTTCACATTCATTGCTTCTTATTAGATAGATATAAGAAGATGTGGTATGAGTGCCAATGAGACAACTCTCCATCCATTGTCAAAAATCATTCATCAGATGTACTTCAAATTTAAGACCAAAATCCAGTGTCTTCTTCAGTCGATTCAATTAGTTTATGTAAAATATATGAACTGATTTAGTCATTAAAGACGCCTAAATTCAAGCTAAAATATGAAAAACCTATCAAATATGCCACAAAACGTCACTTATCAGACGGTTTTTGTCTAAAATGGAAGTGGTCGCATTCGTGTTCAGTCTCAACCTTTATGTATGCTATGTATAATCAAATATAAGATACATTTAAATATTAAGACTGAACACAAGTGCAGCCACTTCCATTTTAGACAAAAACCGTCTAAAAATAAACACAAATGCTGAAAATTGTGAAGATTTCAGTAATTTTGCATGAATCAATGATGCTAATACCTGATGCATGTGCAGTGTAATAACAAAAGCAGCTCATAATTATGTAACAAAAGTATTCTACTTTCTAATAAATAGCTAAAAGTTTACATTTTTAACAAATTTTTGAAATGCTATATTTTTGGGCCAAAAAGGGGTCTTACCGAGTCTATTCCTTTACCAAATCTTGCACACAAATGGAGGTTCATAATTAGCAATTTGAGGACAAATAAATACAAGATATTCATTTTTAGCATGAAGTATATAAAAGTTTATTAAAGTAAAATATAACCTGAAATTTTATATTCACAATTGTAGTTGAAACTGTAATAGCATATGTCATAAATGATTGTCAGTCATGAACGATACAAATGGTTAATTTCCCTTTTACCCTGGCTGATATTATACTTTCCTTTCATCTTTTTTGCATCACCATGTATTTTAAGTTATAGCATGAACCTAAAACTATTTTCTGATTTGTCAGATTAGAGTTATTTCCCTTGTAAAGAGGGATTTGACAGAACTATAAAACTTTTGATACTATTAAGTTTCTCTTTAGGAAATATTTTGAAAATCAAGAACCCATACACACACGATATATAATTTTAAATTTTATTGTCAATATGCCGACAAAAACAGATATTCAAAGAGGGTCTGGATGGGGATCCTCCATTTCTGCATTCTTTAAATTTTTTAGGTCATTTTTCTCTATTCTCTATATTTTTGGCCAATTATTCTCTATTCTTTCAACTTTTCTAAGCACCCCATTGTTCTCTATTCTTTATTTATTTAGTCTATTTTTCTTTTCGTTCTTTATTTTTTGGTCCTATTTTTTCTGTAGATTTGATCCATTATAACCCCATTCAGACCCTCTTCTATTGAGCAACGAACAATCATTAAAACTTTTACAATTAGACTACATATGAGATAACTTTTGAAGGAAGAAGACTTGAAATCCAGAATTACCAAGCTTACAGAAGAACTGGAGACAGAGAAATCAAACAAGTCTGAGTTAGAGCAGCTTAATACAACATGGTCAGAACAGAACTTCAGGCTGTCAGAGGAATTGAATGCAGCAAAGGTGATAAATTATTAAAAATATTTTAGAAATGATACAGTATACGTAGATATTTTCATGCATTGTTTATTTCATGATGATTTTCCTGGAGGTACAATTTGTGCATCAAACCATAATTTCAGCCTTACTTTATGACAATATTGTTGCTTTCTACAGAGATATTTTAGCGAAAATAAATGAAAATTTCCTCTTTTACAATGATTAACAATCTTGTTAAAATTTGGTTTTCTTCTTATTCTTCATGGGTTTTAAACTGGTTCTGACTAGTTTATTAACTTTTTAATCAATCAACATTGATTCATTAGTGTTTGATTTGGTAATGTTTAGAAGCAACAAAAATATACTTACTTAAGATTCTTATATTGTTGAGATTATAGGATTAAACCCCTTTTTAAAGGAATTTATTGGTGTATAAACTCGACCAATTCACTCACAAACAAATAAAAGTCCGAAGGACTTTTATGATATGTTTGTGAGTGATTTGGTCCAGCTGAAAAGGCGTTTAATCCTTATAATTCTTTAAAAATGGAGATAAGGAATTCATTTTCCCACACTCGTAACCTCTATCACATGTAAATTGTATATTTGTGTCATTGAATTGGCCTGGTGCATGAATATATTTGTTGGTTAACGCAAAAATATGTACTCCATGAAATTTGCTATCTGATAATAAATAAACTGCAAAAACTCTTATTGTCATTCAAAAGTGTTTATTATTTAAATTAATGATTAACGCGAAGTGAAAACACATTTTGTTAACGTCGAGCCGGATTGTGTTATTATCTCCGCCATCTTGTTTACATTGGTTACGAAAAGAAGTTTGGTCAACGTCGTCTATCGAAAAATAAACAACGTCAAGAACAACTACCGGAAATCCCCTCCACCAATCATATCAACGTATTCCCTAATATGCAAATCATATAAGAATTATTGATGAATATTTTCTCCAAACGCTTTGGTAAACATATCAATTTTTTTCAATGAAATAAACATATATTCTTTGTTTTTCTATTATACAATGTTCTAGTGAAGACAAATGAAATGCTCTTAGGACAGTGATATCAAGGGTATCCAGAAACAGAAAACAACCTTACTCTAACAGGAAAACTGAATAGTCAATTAAGATCGATTTGAACGCACCTTGCCATTCATCGGGATCAAACTTTGCAGGCTATTGATTCTGTAGATGAACATGTTAGACTCGACTCACTAGCCACCAAAGTAAAAAGTAAATAATTTTGATATAGTTTCATATATTTCTTGAAAATGTTGAAGTGAGCTTTTTACTGTTATGTATTGTATTCCACCTTGTAAGCTTAAAGCAGTGCTAATTTCTGTGCATTGCATATTGGTCTAATCATTTACTTAGTATTAGCATTGAATTGTTTTATATTACAGGCCATATTGGAGGTTCCCAAGGAAGATGGAGAGTACCAGACAGATCTATGCATGTTAAACATGAAGGATTCTCAATGTCAGATACAACCAGAGTTATCTAACTTTGGTAACCAGACAGAACAGCCAAGACGTTACCATATCTCCTTGCAGACAGATCCAACACCATGTTCTGATGTCTCATCTCAGACTTATGCTCCAGCTATGACTGTTTCTGCAACACAAACACGAGAACCATCATTGATTAACAGATCTGCTCAAACAGAGGTTGAAGATGGAGATGAGGATCTTTGTCTTGAAATAAAAAAAGAATTAATTTTTACAAAAACACAACCAGAATCACAAATTTACAAAGAAAGGGAGATAACTCTGACAGGAATATCAGATTCAGTTGATCAAAGGGAGATTTCTCCTGTAGTTTACGAAACCATGAAACCTTTAAATGGAATGGAAGAATCTTTGTCCGGTGACAATGCAATGAATAAAAAAGTCAGTGATATAAGTACAAATCTTTGCTCCATAATTCCAGAAATGCAGCAATCAAATGCATCATATAGTCATAATACTCCACTGAAAGATCCATCATTCAGCTCAGATAGAACAGAAACAGGGGGTAAATCATGTTTTCAAACAGAGTATTTAGTGTCATCTAAAAATAATAAATCAGTGGAAAAGCCACAGGAAAAGCCACAGGAAAATGAGTTTGGAGAGAAGGGAGATAATCAAGACATAAAAAGTATGTATAGGGCATTCTCTTTAAACAAAGAATTTTTAAAACTATATGAAACAGAGAAAGACAACTTAATTGAACCAAGGCAAAATTTGCATAGAGAGGACGAAAGAAAGAATTATAAAGAAACAAGCACAGATGGTCATGTGTCTGAAAATGTTCAAGAGAAAGAAAAAATAAGGACTATTTCAGGATCAACAAATGTGTCCAAAGATGAAAGTGATGAAGATGATTTTGTTGTTGAGAAAAGGAAAGAAAAAACAATGAAAGATCAGAATATTATATATGGCATTAGTACTGATAAATCAATTGGAGAGAAGTCAAACAAAGATCGAAATACAGTCATTGAAGAAAATAGATCATTGATAGAAAAACCAAAGAAAATGAGTTTATATGAAAGTCATGTAGATGGATATTTAAATAAAATAAATTCTGGTAACTTACAAAATACAGTGGGCGTCAAAATGATAAAACCTAGAGACAACCAGGATGTCCCAAAGTCTCTTAAATTTGTGGAGTATTTGCAACCTACTGAAAAAGTTATTACTAATATTGGCAGATTTAGAGTTGAAACAGAAAGTCCAAAGGTCAAGAGTTCAAGTCCAAGTTGTCATGGCTTTTTGTCACTTGTTAAAAGAAGATCCAACTATTACAAAGAGAATTTAGGCTTGAATATGAACAATAGTGCAAAAAGTCCTTTAGATTTTGGCGAATCTGATGAAAATCCCGTCAAAAAATCTTCGTCAGCTGATAATCAAATATCAAGTCTCACAGAGCCCATTGCTGAGTGCTCTCTAGGTCCATCTGCCAGAGACAATCAGAAAGATGTAAATAAGGCAGGGTGTAGTGAAACCAACATGATAGAAACATCAAAACTAAGCCCATACAGTCGGTATAAAGCCTTGCTGAAACCTAATCTGGAAAAAAATAGTTCACTGAAACAAAAGCCAGGTTAGTTTGATATTAGAGATTCATTATTGTTCATTAGATACCAATTTTCCTAGATTTCTTTTGGTAAATGGGATCCACAAATTTAAATGTTCAATGAAGTACAACACTCCAAACTCAACAAATATATTGTGGATTAAAAAATCTATCATTTTGATAATATCTTCAGTGTATTTTATGATAGAATCAGTGTGGTTCTTCACAAAATAAGAATTATTATAACCTGAAACAAGAAATTTATATCTACGTCGGATTCCCATTTTTTATAGAAAAAGCTCTGTTTAATGAGATGGTGAAGTCGATCTTTCAATTTAGCATGGGCAAAAGTAGTGTAAAGCGTAGAAAAATCAAAGTCTTAATGTTGCTGCAAAATTGCAGAGATTGTGATCTAAGATTTAGCAGTAGATCTTTAGAATTTTTGAGAATTCACATCTGATTAACACCACTGGTTGAATATATCTCATCACAATATATTTGAAGGCCATCTTTTACTGTAGAAAGAATTGTGGTCAGCACTTTAGAAAGATGTTTTGTTGAACATCTTGATGATCCAGCTATGTATCGTTCTTTATACAGAGTTTTGTGAACTTTTGGTATCCAGTATAATGACGGTAGATTTTCTTCATGTTCTTTGATGTTGATACCAAAAGAAAAAAGGACAGATTTGTGATTTTGTAAAATTTCATCCTTTGTAAATGATGTTAAAGAATATGTAGGATTACCAGTTGTGCTGTTTATTCCAAGCTCTTTTATGAGACATTGCAAATAATGGTTTTTACGTATGAAGACAATATTATTGGAGGCTTTATCTGCTGGAACAATGACATATTTGTCATGCAAAGAGGATAAAGCATCCACAGCTCCGGGTCTTGAATGGGTTCGAAACCCTTGTGCTCATAGTACATCGTAGTTTCTGAATGCGCTTCTGAATGCATGATTGAATAGCTTTGAGCCATTCAGACAAAGTGTCCCGTTCTGGTTTGTCTGGTTGGCGCTTTACCCATTTTCTAGCATAGTCCTCAACTGCATCCATCAGTAACTGGAAGTTCTTTTTCCAGTTGAAGGGCTGGGGAATTGTATATTTTGGTCCCTTGGCTAACAACTCTCTTAGTTGTTCATTGGTAACGATGCCAAGGTCGCCAGTAATAACATGACCAGCTGGACTATAATTTTATTTTGACGATGCACACGAGCAATCAGGAGGTCATGCAGACAAACCAAAAATAACAGAAAAAAACATTATTTTATTGTATACTGTAAACCAACTTATTTTTCGCGGGTACATTATTTTGCGTTTGGCCCCTTCAAGTTGACTTCACAATGATTAATTTCCGTGATTTTCTCATTTTCTTTATGTATTTATATAAGGGATTATATATTCCTGTCATTTTTTACTTGCGCAAATAGGTTGGTTTACAGTAGTCTAAATTTAGTTAATGAAAAGTCTGTTCTTCATTCACTTAAGTCTTGAATTGTTAAACGGAACCTGCAAACTAACGATAGTTTAATTTTTTTATGTTGACTAAAACTTTCTAAGTTTGATTGATTATTGCTTGCTAAATGTATAAAATATATTAAATGAGCTGCGTTGGATTCAAATCGACCTTAGGCAAGTGCACATATATAAGTACATGTGTAAGACTTTGATTGATTTTTGGAACATTCAAATAAGAAATAAAGAGATGAATTTTGGTCGGTTTAGAATGGTTCTTTTAACAAATCAATGTTCAAATAGTGACAGACTTTTCCAAAAGGATGTTTTTTTAACCTGAAATAGGTTTAACTTAACAGATGTATTGATATTCATTTGCATAAGGTTGATTTCTATCCGACGCAGCTCATATATTATTACATATTCAGGATGAAAAACATATTAAGAACATTTTAGTACAAGATATTTATTCAAAGGAAATTTTCTAGTGGACTTTTAAGAAATGCTTTGAATGGCTTGTCAAATTTTCATCTTCAATGTCAGAATATGTATTTGATAGTTTATATCAACCAAAAAGAGGAGAAACTATTCAGAAATCATGTATGGATTAAGATCTTAAATTGTGATTGTCTACTGTAAATTCAGAAATTATTGCGTGTATTTATTATTGCGATTTTGGAAGAATGAACAAAAATATGAGATTAATTATTGTAATTTCAGGAAAATCTTCATTCAGATATATGTATCAGATATCAGAATACGAGTTATTATTATTGCGATACTCACATCATCATTTTTGTATGGGACGACATAAACATTAATGTTAAAAGATTTCAAACATTTTTAAAGATTTTTTTTATATTATAGAAGGCAGTAAAGTGAGCAGTGCAAAGAAAAGAGGAATTTTAAGAGGTAAGTGACAGGAAAGTTGGCAAATTACTATTTACTTGATTTTAACAGATAATCTATTTGTAAAAGATATATGGGATATACATACTGTCTTGTGAAGATTTGTCTCATTGGCAATCATACCACATCTTCTTTTTTATATATACATACAGTGAAACATTAACAGAAAGACATTAACAACCAAAAGACATCTCGGGTCATTATACAATTTTCAACAATATATAGGGGTCTTAACAAAAGGTCAAGCTTGTATTAGCCCAAACCAAAATGTTGTGAGAAATTGTGAAGGTCATTTATATTGGCTTCATTTACCCAATATTTGCTATTATCAAAGTATTCTAATAATTATAAGTTTCATAACGCAGTATATCTAAGTTTTCACCAAAAATATGTTGATATTTCTTTTAAAGAATAAAGTACATTTTGTTTATAAAATACAAATGAAATGCATTTTGGCACCAACCTTAACATTTTTTTCATGTTTATTTATTTTCGCACACATTTGGTGAGCAATTTATTATCACAACTTTCACTAGTATGGCAAATCTAATTGTCAGGAATATTTAAATCTTGGATTTTCCCTTTTATGATTTTATATCAAGAAAATGACAAGATCCCCCCAAAAAAATTGCTGTGAAGTTGGCTAGAAGGAACTTAACGCAAAATAAAGTATGTTGGCTTACAGTTACCAGTTTATAATAAACAAATATTCAGTTAAAGTTCTATTGAAAAAAATATGTTTACCAAATCAATATGGAATTGTGGTAGACTGACAAGGATCACCATTTCGGCCTTAAAAAGATAATAATAAACAAGTTATACCAGAAACAACCATTAATATATAGGGAAACAGTGTTACCAGTAAATGAGTTTAAAGGCCTCAATGAATTAAATCGACAATAAATTTAGCAAAAACCTTACTAGAAAATTAGATCTTAACTACATGTACAAAGAAGTGTGATCAGTCTAGAGGCCCAATAAAGGGAACACAACATAATGAATTGTGAATATTACATATAATTCTTTAGAAAGTTAAATTTGAGTAATTAGCTTTTCAGTGTCATATTTGTCTGGTAAATATGAGTGTTCCATACCATATAGATTTAGCTATAGCAACACATTCTTATGGCATGGTTGTCAAAAATGACCTGAAACTCAAACACAAATTTATCAACAAATATTTTTACATGTATATCCTTCAGAAAGCCCCTGTAGTCCATTGCTTAAAGAATATATAAACACAACCAGAAGTCTATATATATATATATTAGCACAATACAAATAGGGACACAATTATTTTCTAGATTTATCTGCCTTTAAACATATCATTTTCATTTTTTCAGAGTCTCCATCAAAAGAGAAGAAAAATGTAACATTTTCAGAGGACATTGTTCAAGTAAAGGTATGATATCTTGTATAATATCCAATATCTTTTCATGAATTTATTACTAAATATATTGAGTCTTTGAGATAATCTTATTTCATTTCGAGGTTAAAGTCTTGGTCTACTATTTGCATTTTAGCTACACTGTTATGCTGTGTTTAAGGAAATTACACACTTAAATCAATGTAGAGTAGAGATTGGAAACTGGGAATATGTCAAAAAGACAGCTACCCGACCAAAGAGCAGAACACAGCCCAAGGCCACCCATGGGTCTTCAACATAGCTAGAAAGTCCTGCACCCGGAGGCGGGCTGCAGCTAGCCCCTGAAAAACAGTAGTTTGCTGGTGTTACCTTGAATTTCACACCGGTGCTCCTAAAATCCAGCAAAACAGTGGAAAATAATGAAAAGTTTGTTTTTTTATTTTTCAATATATTGTATATACATGTACAACTTCAGTAATGTTGATTTTTACATTTTTCTCATTTGACCCAAGATAAAAACCCATCAACAAACCCGTGTGATCAATTTCCTGTCATTTTTATTTCGCATTTCATCAAGCTATTCAGTCTGGCAACCAGTACATGCTTATTGTTACTTTTGTTTTAATTTCAGCATCTTACTCCTGAGTTTAATATCTCGGGAGACCAGTGCCTTTATTCAGATGATGATGCGGACACTATTGAACTGATTTCTTCACAGGAAGACTGTTCAGAGGAAAAACGACCAAGATTGGTGTAATTGACAGGCAAAAAACAATTTAATTTCTAAATGTTGGGAAAATGATCTTATAATAATAATGTCATGGACAGTCATTCAAAATACTTGACATTGAGGAAATCAAAATTTTATTTGCTATATTGAAAAGTAAATTATTTATTTGACAAAGGCCTTTTTTCTTCTTGAGCAATTAAATTATTTGACCTTATGAAGAACATTCTAATTATGCCACTGGACTTAACCAGTTTGTGTTCCTTTTACCTCGACCTCATTTCCTTGTGTTGTTCTTCACTGATAAGTTTTACCTTGATTTCAAAGACTTAAAGCATAAATTTCAGTAATAAAAGTAAAACTAGTGAAATTTCAGCATGTCTATTCCTGTCAAAATTACAAGTACAAGAGCATTTTTCTGTCAAGTTGATAATTTTGGGGGATACTCTTTTAAAATAAAAATGCAGCTTAAGAAACATTTTTTTATACTTCAGCATGAATTTAAACTCAAGCAAAAAGATTTTTAAGGTAGTAAAGTTAAGAGGTTCATACAGTATTGATTTGATTGTGATTATAAATGGAAGTGACATATAATGATTACTTAGTTTCAAAATGGCTTTACCTAGTTACCATCAGATGTCTTAAAGATCATTCTGTTGTTGATGTTTTGCTGATGTGTAATTCCATGAACTTTTACCTCTCTGCAATTAATTGACCTATCCCTCATCAATATTTTGACGATCTGCAGAAAAATCTAGTCATTGGGATAAAGTCAACACTTTTGGCGAATCTTTTTAAACTTTTGATGAAGTTTTTCATTCAAACCTCAAATGAATTCAGTAATCAGAGAAAAAAAATGAAACACCAGGACCATTTTTTTTAGCCATGATCGATCGATATGTCATGATATTTCAATGCTCGTATTCCATGTGAGACAATGTTGTTCTCTTAAATCAAAATCAAAAAATATCTTACCTAAAAGTAAACAGAGAAATCTATGTGTTACAGGTCAAAATATATATAAATATATGAGTTCTTCTCCTTCCTTGGGGGGAATGTCGTATATGTACTTGTTTTCTAAAGGTTCTTTCAATTTTTAACATTTGTAATTTGTTTTATTATTATTGTTAAATGTGTTGTTTATTGTTTTGTTGGCAGTTTTTCTGAAATAAAATATATAACAGATATTGTAATTTTATTGCTAGAATATTCACATATATCTTGTAATCAGTTATGTACTGTTCTTAGCAAAATGTATATAAATACCGAACAGATAATACTAAATTTCTAATATTAAAAAGTTGGGGTGTGTAGGTCAGAGAATAGAAACAAGTATGCCAGACACATATTTTATTTGTACAAGGTTCATCAGTTGCAAAACACTTTAATAAAAATAGCTGGAAGGCCTGATCTTTTACCTTATATGGCAGATTTTAAAAAACCAAAATAAAAATAAATTGTGCCAAATCTGGTTTAGACAATCTATTTATATTTGTACGAAAAAAGTACAAAAATACTTAATTCTAAGTTATTTGAAAACAGAAAAATCAAGACCTGTGTCAACATAAAAAAAGTAATGTTTTTCCTGCTAGACCATTTTTCTTCCAAAAATTAGAAAATAGAAAAAAAGACATCACTGTTTTCACCTTGATGGGAATCTTCATATATATCTCAACATAAATATAAAAACTTAGTGCTGAGTTTAGTTCAACTGCAGCGGTGGCAAATTATCATAGCACAGACACACATCAAAATAAGTTAATTATTCTCCTGAACACATGATGAATACAACAAAGTTTCCAACACAGTAAATATTTTATAATATAAACCAATACTTTTTAAAAAAGTTATTTGTTTGCATTCATGATGTCAGAATGCAATATAATCATCATTTGTTTAAATTATTGTTCAATGAACTTGATATAAAATTGAGAATGGAAATGGGGAATGACGTCAAAGAGACAACAACCCAATCAAAGAGCAGAAAGCCCAAGGCCACCAATGGATCTTGAACACAGTGAGAAAAATCCTGCACTGGAAGGCGGGCTTCAGCTGGCCCCTAAACAAAAATGTGTACTATATATTTGTTTATTATATTATTAACCTGGGATCCTGGGTCAATCCCAGCTTCTTCTGTATCGGACAGTGAGTAAGGATGACAGGGATGTATGATTATGTAAACATCAAAATGGATAAGTATAAACTTCGGAAAGTCGCATACCTGCAATCCAAAATCAAGTATCTTAGCTTAGCACCCTGTTTTATTTAGAAAATAGTGTGTATTTATACACAATATAAATTAAAGTCGTTTCCTTTTACCCACACGCTTGGAAAGTAATATGGCTTTCAAATATATAGCTTTGAGAGTTCCTAATGAAAGATAATCCGGAAAAGGGCTTCAAAGTATTGTTTTTATTTTTTTGATAACCTCTTCCTGTTAATCAAAATGAAAAAACAAAGTGTTTTTGGTTGATGGTTTGTCATACAATGTATGTATTGAATCTGGGACATGAAATATGTTGGTTATCTTTTTCATATTTGTTCATACAAGCGGCTATAAATATAATCTAAGTTAAATTAAAAATGATTAGAATTCCAAAGTTCATATCTAATAAATCCATTACGAAATGACGAAGATAAAAATCAAGGTGAAATACAATAGCTGAGGGCATTGCATCATTTCTGAATGGAAAGAGACCAGGTGCACCCACAAGGTAAGTGTCTCATGCTATGCTTACATTAGCCCCCATGCGATCCTGCACTCTGTCAAAATATCAAAATCAAGAATAAGACATAATTTGGTAAATTTACAGATCAGACGACTAATGGTAAAGACTATGAAAACATGTAGCTAGTTAGTTGAGACAGTTAAGTCAAGTCTATATGAAAATAAAGAGAAGTGGTATGATTGCCAATGAGACAACTATTCACAAAAGCTAAAACGAAGTGGATGTCAGCAATTATAGGCAACCATATAGCCTTCAACAATGAAAAAAGCCTATACCGTATTAAAGGCCCCGGACATGATTAATATGAAACAATTAGAATGGGAAAACTAACGGCCTAATAACAAAACGATTTGCGAAGAACAAATATGACAGACATGAATTAACGCAACCACTGAACTTCAGGCTCTTGACTTGGAACAGGCACATATTGAATTTGGCGGGGTTAAACATGTTTGTGAGCGCTAAACTCTCCTTACCTGGGACAGTGGTGTTACAGCACAGCATAAGAACAAACTATAAAAATAAGTTGAAAACTCATCAGATCGATACAAACAAAAACACAGACAGGATGTTGGAGGGTATATGTGCATCCCTCATCTCTAACAACATAAAATACAAGTACAGATCTGAGAGTGCGCGCAGTTACTGACAGCTAGATCAATGCCAATAACAACTAATAAAAAATCATTTACCTAAGACTAAAATATATCAGTCCACATTCAACAAAATATCGCTCAGTACAACATCAAATGGATTTAGTGGAAAGACGTCATTAGGAAGCTACCATTGATTTTTATGGAGGCTAGGATGAAAAATGTTGTCCTGTATTTGTATTTAGTTGTAGTCGGTGACCTACCTTTTTATTTTTCACTCTATTCGGTCCTGCCTTTTTTATTAGTTTATCCTGACTTTTTTTTACATAAATTGTCATCCTGCCTTTTTTTCTGCAAAGTGTCTCATCCTGCCTTTTTTTTTACTAAAAACTCCTCTCCTGCCTTTTTGTAAAATTTCATCCTAGCCCTCCCATAAAAATCAAATGGTGGCTCCCTTAAGGTAGATGGGGTGTCTAAATTATAATCCATAGAATTTTTTAATAATTTGCCAAAATGTAGTTTATATCATGCTTTTTAAAAAAAATAATAAAAAGAATGGGTCACGGGGCTTATTTTCACGCTACAGGTTGTGCAAAATTGACAGATTTTGTATAGATTATGCATGGAAAACCCAATTTTCTGCCATAAAACGAAAACTACACCATAGAATTTTGAGATAAAATATGAGAAGATAGCTCTAATAGTATGCTTTCAGATAAGTTAAAGAAAAAATGGTGTCACGGGACCCATTTTATTGCTACATAATAAAATAGGTAAATTCCTAACACATTCTATTGTAAAAGTAACTTTATCTGAATTATCTGCCCTTACATTTGAGTTGCCTCCCCTTATGTGGCAAAGTTGGAAAAAATAGAATCAAACAAAAGTATTCTGTTTTTGTGTGAAATACAACCATAAATATGATAAAATATGTCATTTTCTCTATTGAAATGAAAATTCTTACACATGAATCACCTACTACTCTCAAAATGTGCACCTTTTATTAAAGATCTAGACCGATTGTTTTCTTGTATTTCAAAATCCAAGATGGAGGAAGACACCCTATCTACCTTAACAGACAATAGAAAAACATGACCTTGTGCAATGCCAAAAAATAGGTATCGACAGATTGTGGAACTGTAAGAGTACATATGTATAATATTTAGTATGGGTTTAATTTAATGATAACAAAATCAATATTTATACAAATAAAACAATATTCAAAGATTTAATTACTGTGTTGAGTAGGTAACCTTTTAGAATAAGTTTATTGAAAGGATTGATAGGTTTACCTGTATCGTATAGCCAAACGTGCAGACCAAATTTTTGTATCTATGGAAGAATTTAGTAACGGTTTTAAGTAATTTGTGGTAACGAAATCCCTGACTTCACAATTTACTAGTAATACATAGATTACGCTCATTGAAATCCAAAACGTCACTACAGACAAGAGCATAGCGAGCGAGTTGGGATATATAAACACTGTAAGACGGTGCCAAAGGAATTACGCCGTTCAAAAAAGGAAACTTAACAACAGGGAAAGAAAATTCATTCCGATTGTAGTACATTTTTGTGTAGAGTTTCTGGTGTAATATTGAAATATCTAAATCTAGGAAAGGACAGTTATTGCTGTTAATGTTTGATTTATTTAAAAAAGTAAGTTCCTTATGGCAAACTTTCAGCAGTATCTTTAGAATATTCAAGATTATTTAACGAAAAAATATTATTAAGATAACGGTAGATGTTGTTAAATTTATCAATTAAATGGAATTTAGACGGTTCTTTACTGAGTTTGACTATAATCTGTGATTCAAAATAGTGAAGGAACAAGTCTGCTATTAAAGGGCACAACTGGGGCCCATAGGAATACCTATAATCTGTTGATCAACTTTAATGCCGAAAGGTACATAAATGTTGTCAAGGAGAACATTTTGGACTTGAATTATCTCATCACACCTTCAGTAAGTATATCTAGCATAGTTACTTTATTGCCGAAAAGTACATAAATGTTGTCAAGGAGAACATTTTGGACTTGAATTATCTCATCACACCTTCAGTAAGTATATCTAGCATAGTTACTTTATTGCCGAAAAGTACATAAATGTTGTCAAGGAGAACATTTTGGACGAATTATCTCATCACACCTTCAGTAAGTATATCTAGCATAGTTACTTTATTGCCGAAAAGTACATAAATGTTGTCAAGGAGAACATTTTGGACTTGAATTATCTCATCACACCTTCAGTAAGTATATATATCATAGGAATACCTATAAGCTGTTGATCAACTTTATTGCCGAAAGGTGCATAAATGTTGTCAAGGAGAACATTTTGGACTTGAATTATCTCATCACACCTTCAGTAAGTATATCTAGCATAGTTTCTTTAGGGAAAAAGGCATTATATATGATGTGCAGTACATACATTTGCAATCAGATTAATCAAACGACCAATTAGTTAGATAGGAAAACTTTTGTCTGATAAGATTGTGTGGATAGTGTTAATTAAAGGGTGAAAAAGTCAAAACTGTCAACCGATTCAAAAAGACCTTCCAAAGCACGTAATTTATCTAACACTATGCCAGTTTTTCAGGGAACCTAAAAGGAATTTGAAAGGCAAAGGACCAGTTTCACCCAAATTTATTTCACACTAGGGTCTTTCGACCTTTACTTGAATTCATAGTATTACAACCCAAGGTACTTTCAATTTTATGAATCATTTTGATACAAGTAATTAAGTTATGAACGTCTGGAGACAGCCCAAAATATTTGAAGGATTTTGACAAATTTAGAGTATTTATTCCAATAAGATTTAAGAAGGACATCATTAGCAAAAACAAATTATTTTAGCAATGTTCTTTAAATCA